CCATGTTTTGGTGTAGGCCTCATGTTGCTTGTGAGAGGAGAGAACAAGCTTTTCCATGTCAATTCAACTTTAGAACCCCATAATGATATAGAGGGAGAGTGTGGGTCTTTCCACTTTAATGAGATGCAACATTTGGCGGTATTGATTTGAGTCAGAACCAATTTTTTTTTTCGTTATAGTTTTTAGTTGGTATTTCTGAAAAGTGTAGGAGGAAGAATGAGAGATCCTCAGGGAGGACACAATCAGTGAATTTTTGGGCGATCCTCTGTACTTCACTCCAGAATTGTGACAACACCGGGCAGGACCAGAATATCTGTAGGATGTTGCCTCTGCCCTCCTGGCTCCACCAGAAATGGTTTGAGAAAGAAGCAAGGAAGGTGTGAAGGATTGATGGGGGGGGGGGGGGCAGTACCACCTCGATCGTAGCTTGAAATTGGACTCTTGCATTCTGGTGGATATGGAAAACGTGAGGAAGAATCTAGTGATATGTCTGCATTGTTCTGGGTCAAAACATTTGTTCAGGTCAGTTTACCGTTTTTGAACGTAGGGTGGTTTATAGTCCTCTAGAGAGATTTTTAGTATATAGTACACTTGAGAAAGAGAGTGCCTTATCAAGTCTGTGTCTGAGCAGAGTTCTTCTAAGAACTGTAGAGCTTATTGGAAGATATGAGGAGAGGAAGCTATCTCAAGAAGCTCTCCATGTATCCAGTTTGAACATGCCAGAGGTTTGTGTGAGGGCGTTGATAAAGGGCCATTGTGAGGCTTCTAGGAAATAAGAGGTTTGAAAGCATTGACAGTGTAGTAGAGGTTGGAATGGGCCACCTATTAAGCCTAAGGGAAATGGCAGACTCCCTAAGATCGGGTACAAGGGGGAGCAGTTAACAGGCACGGGGAACTGGACGAGGGGCTTAACACTCATCTTCAAGGTGAATCCGATTGTTGGGTGCGATCTAAGGGGAAATGGGAGGTCAGTAAAGCACCATGGAACACCACAGAGCAGGATGTTAATTGGGCCTGTTCGATTTGGGGCCAGAATTTGAATTTTGCATGTCTGGACCAACCTTTTAATCTGACTAAGTGTGTGTCCCGGTAGTATTTCGTGCAGTCAGGTAAGGCAAAGTCGCCATACCATTTAGGTAGCGTTAATAAATGGTGGGGGACTCTCGGCTTCTTATCTGCCCAGATGAAGACTGGACTCATATTACCAGCTATAGATCCTAGAACGGAGTTATACCAGTGTATCTGGGGATCCTACTGGACTCCTCTCTGTTCTTGTTTTCCCTCCAGCTGCCATTTCTATCTTCTCTCTAAAAGTATCTGTTAAGAGGCTGTTATTTTTACTTATGGTTTCCCATACTTTTTCAGTTCTCTTCCAGAACAAGCATGCATTTCACAGGAGTGAACAGCCACAACTTCGCAGGAGAGGTCATTCGTACCAGTCTCTGTGTTTTGTGGTTTCCTTTAAAAGCTTGTGTATACAGGCACATCCCAAAAATTCATTGATCAGTCTACACAGATCTGACACACCTGAAGGGTAAATTAAAAACCTATGGTAAGGTCGCCAATTATGTACAAGGCATGTCTTAAACACAGCTCAAGAGTGCCGACCACAGAAAGGCCAGAAAAGGAGGCACATCTGTGAAACCAAACATTTACTGAACCATGTTTAATTGTGTAGCAGATGTTTACTGCTATAACGTAAAGGAAAATGAAAGCCATTATTTAGAGTGTAATTCTTGCTGTTTGACATCCACCTGCCTTTCTATATGAAGCTTGCCACAAATTACAATCTGATTGCACAATCTCCTTAGATTTATCAACCAGTCAGACTCAACCATCCATTGAGTAGGGGTCACCTGAGCAGACATACAGTACATAGAATGGATTGGTTAGGAAGGAACTTGCACTACAGGTACCTACAGATATTTGAGAACATTCACCCATTCTGGACATTTATTAGGGAATGTTTTTAGATCAGTAGGCTTTCCTTGATACATCCCAGCTTGAGTCTTCTTGGACGTGGAATAGATCGGCTGATGCACACACATATTTTGTACAACATTCATTGAAATAGATCTGTCCTATGGATGGTCCAATAATGTCCTTTTATAGACTCATCATAAGGGACCACTGCATGATTTGCAAAGAAAGTGTATTGAGCCTCCTCTTTATACAGCAGCAGAGTATGCCAAAAGAGGTAGTCTTTACAAGGCAACTTAATACAGCTACCAGTGACTACCTTTCAGGGACTCCCACAATCAACTTGGTTTCAGATGTCATTTGATACAGGAAGAGGTGGGAATTTAACCACTTGCCTACTGGGCACTTATACCCCCTTCCTGCCCAGGCCAATTTTCAGCTTTCAGCACTGTCGCACTTTGAATGACAATTGCGCGGTCATGCAACATTGTACCCATATGACATTTTTATAATTTTTTTTCAAACAAATAGAGCTTTCTTTTGGTGGTTATTTACTTGCCACTGGGTGTTTAATTGTTTTGTGCTATAAACAAAAAAAGAGCAATACAGGGCAGCACAGTGGCTAAATGGTTAGCACTTTCACCTGGCAGCACTAGGGTCCTTGGTTCGAATCCCAGCCACGGCAGCACCTGCCTGGAGTTTGCATGTTCTCCCTGTGCCTGCGTGGGTTTCCTCTGGTTTCCTCCCACACTCCAAAGACATGCTGGTAGGTTAATTGGATCCTGTCTAAATTGGCCCTAGTATGTGTATGTATGAATGTGAGTTAAGGACCTTAGATTGTACACCCCTTGAGGGTTAGGGACTGATGTAAATGTACAATATATATGTAAAGCGCTGCGTAAATTGACGGCGCTATATAAGTACCTGAAATAAATACATTTGAAAAAAAAATTTTTTGTTTCTATTAAAACATTTTGCAAACAGGTAATTTTTCTCCTTCACTGATGTGCGTTGATGAGGCTGCACCGATAGGCAGCACTGATGGGCACTGATAGGCAGCACTGATGAGGTGGCATGGATAGGCGGTACAGATGATGCTTCACTGATATATAACAATGATGGGCACTGATAGGCAGCACTGATGGGTGACACTGATGGGGGCACTGGTGGGTGGCACTGATGGGCACAGGTGGGTGGCACTACTAGGCACTGCTGGGCACAGGTGGGTGGCACTGCTGGGCGACACTGCTGGGTGGCACTGATCATCAGTGCCCTGATGATTGGTGCCGATCTGTCCTCTGACAATTGCTGGTTATCGGTGGTACTTTCCTCACGCTGTGACAGCCGATAACCAGCAACTGCGTTTACCAGTGATCTGCTGTGTCATTAGACACAGCTGATCACGTTGTAAAAAGCCGCTGTGATTGGCCTTTTACCACATGAAATGATCAGCTGTGTCCATAGGAAACAGAGATCATGGACATCGCCGGGGGCATGTTCTGGGAGGACATCATATGACACCTGGACAACCGCGCTGTGGCGGTCATTCGGCTATAGCGCGGTTGACAAGTGGTGGTAAAGTGCATGTAATTCCAAAAACATAAATGTAATATAGTGTAGCTTACCAGTCTTTAGATGTGGTGGCTACATTAGTCTTCTTTTATTTAAGCTTTTTTACCCTTTATTTTCACCTGGTGATCCTGCCAGTAACACACTTTGGGGTGGATTTACAAGAAGCAAATAGACTGTGCATTTTGCAATTTCAGTTGCAGTCATTTCCCCCAAAGCTTAGTGAATGTGGCAAAGATCTGCTGATTTCCATCATCCAATCGTATGCAAGCAAAAATGCTATTTTATTTTTCTATATTATTTTCCTTGCACTTGATTGGGTATTCTTTACATAATACAGCTTCACCACATTCACTAAGCTCTGGCAAAGTGCACAGTCAATTTGGCATTAGTAAAACCACCCCCTTTCAGTCTTAGTCTGACATCACTCATTCGCTGTACAATATCAGAACCGAAACAAGAGAGGGCTACAGAACCCTGCTCCTCTCCTATTCTACACAACATAAAGGGGCATGGTTCTGCAGTCCTCAGAGATATCGGAGGACAAAGTGTTTCATAAATATAAGCACAGGCAGAGACGTTATCAGCCCACATAATTTCAGTTAATATTAAAACAGACTTACTAAAACATTTCCAATTGTATATTTAAGGTACGAAAAGAGAGCAAATATTGAATTTCTGGCTGTGGGTTTAGAAACACATCAAACAAATTTTAGATAATAAACTCAGACAAGAAGACGTATAATGTTCAAGTAACTGCTTTATTTAAAAAGAAGTCTATAAAATAAACCTTCATCTCTTCACAATACTAAATTGGTAGTACATATGTTCAATAGAGGTTCTGGAAATTTAAAGGGTAAATTTACCTTTTCAGAAAAAATGAAAAGGTGAACTAACACCATATACCTTCCCCATCCCTCAGGATCCCCGCTGCACTTGTCTCCAGTGATGCTGAGCTGTCAGTGCCCACGCAGCCCATCCAGTGGTCCTGGGATTTGAAATCCCCGCTCTTTGCTGTGCAGCACTTCTGGGACGACCAGAACGATTGACTGTGCAGGCGCTGACCAACCAGAATCACTCTAGTCCTTCCAGGAAGCAATGCACACAGAAGAGCAGGGATTTCAAATCCCAGACTGCTGGATTGGTTGCATGGGCATTGACAGCTCAGTATTGCCAGAGGTAAGTACAGCGGGGACTGGGAGGTGAGAGTAGTAGGATGTTAGTACACTTCTTCATTTGCTCTGTAAAGGTGAACTAACACTTTAAAACTGTATTTTTTTTATTTTTTTTTTTAGAAAAAATACTTAAAACACACCTTGTTTTCCCTTTTAAATAAAACAAACATTGTAAAAAATTTTTTGATTTTGTGCTTAAAAAAATAAAATACAGCTAAAAAAAAAAAACAAACAAACCTGAGACAGTGATGCAGCCATTTAGGGTGAGGAAATTGTGGAAGAATGGCACTTCACACAGCATATTGTTTTATGACCTTTTTTTTTCCCCTTTTAGCATCAGGTTTCCAGTTTGATTATTCCAAACTCGGTTAATAATGCTACAATTAGAAAGAGAACATAGAGGACAAGTAGGGCAAATCCATAGGTACGACGAAGATGGAAACACTGCACTGGTACAAAAACCAGTGAAAACACCAGGCTGATTCCAAGACCTCCAGCCAAAATCCATACCAAAAGATCATGTGCGTCCAGCTGAAAAAACAAATAGGGGACAACATTAGAATGACTCTTAAGTTTGCTTTAGTGTGTGTGCGTATGTAAACAGAAATAGCGTGAAGAAGAATCTGAACTGTTGCAAATTGTACGCAAATTCCAGCTCACATTATTTTTTAAGAATTTTGATGGTCATATATTTATGTTTAGGTGGATATCCGATCCCTTATGTATCTTCTTTATTATTATACAGGATTTCTAATTGCATGGATGCCTGGGCCATAGTCTTAACGTATGTGTATCAGTGTTTTCATTGAAAGGTATTGGCAGCATGGTCCTAATGGTAAACTGGGGGTTCACATACCTTTCTGGACAGTTAAAGACCCATGTGTATAATAATCAATGGTATATGCTATAACCATGTTTGATTGATTTAGGTCATTGACATAATTATAGACTGTACTGCGGATAATTTATTTCTTCCCCTGAGGAAGCCCAGGTGGAGCGAAACATGTAGGGAAGCACCATCCTTATGCTGCAGAAAACAGCCAAGCTTGTTATGAATGTCAAGAAGTACTGTACTTGTTTGTACTCAATAGAATTTGATTGTAATAAATTGGAGAAAAAACTTATTTTAAAACAAATCTGTTTATTTTTATGCACCTTTAAAATCCCACAATTTACATTCCTTGGTTTAATGAGCAAATATGGTTACCACGTGTGTACATATATATATACTGTATCACCCTCCTAGTTAGGTGTTAAACTGCTAAGTAAAATTTTAATATTTTTCTTTTGGGGCTCTTTTGTAATCTGCAGTTGCTGATTGTTTTGGTCTGATCAGGGTCTCAACAAGCTAGACTTTGTGTGGATAAATCCACACAAATCCACAGAGAAACCGAGTACCATAAAAACAACTTTATTATGTACCGTTAAAAATCTATTACACAACACTAAAAATTACTCTCCTCATAGGGGTTCACAACATGCAAAGATTACAATTACCATTCACATGTGGATGTGACGTGTTTCAGGAATCCTTCTTCAGGAGCACATGTAACAGAATCTGTACACTGGAACCCACTCCTAATCTTTAGTAGAGTAATATTAGCTTGTAGGGTAGCCTGGAATTCATAGTATGAGCACATCGCCCATAGAAGTGCAAATCAGTAAGCCAAGGTGAAGCCACTGCCTCTCAGGTGGGAAATTCAGGTACATTCAGTAAACAGCCAATGGTCTTGTACATATAATCTTAAGATAAGACTACCTTCCCAATGGGCAACCATTCAGACCCAATGTAAGTAAGTCACCATAAAGGCAGCATGGTACTCAAGATAGTTAAAGAGGGGGCTAAATTGGGAGAAATTGCACTCGTGTGAACGGGGCTCCTCTTAAGTTTGGGATTTCCCAAGAATACAAAGTAAAAATATTTATGTTAACTAAAAAGTAATGTGTCTGCAATTTATGTTGGTATATACAGATGTAGTTTATTGGTAAAGATACACAAAACAAATATGGTCAAAATAAAATGAAAAAGGGACTACAGAAAATATCTGAATCACAGCTCACCTGTAACACAGTCTTTGATGGGCCCATCTGCAGCAAACAGCCTAGACCAACTCCAATTAACACATCTGTAGTTCAGTTAAGGAAGAAATAAAAAAACAAAAAAAACACAGCTCTCTGAAAGCAGTGATCAGCTTGAAGATAAAGCAACTGTTTACACCAATTTTATCAAACACAGTGACATATAATAATTTGTAGATTATACGGTTTAACTGTCATCTCTCTCACATTCTGGGGAATTAACTAATCTCCCAGCGCCATTTCAAGTGGCGTGCACGACATTAACTGAGCAGATAGACCTATTTTAGGTGCAAGGATACTGAATATGATTCCTCCAAAGCAAGCAGAGAATGCCATGCGAGGATAGCCTTGACGAGCTAGCGTGAGGTCAGACACAAAATCTGTAAGAGTAGAAGAAACAGAGCTTATGAATAAAGCTGTAATCAGGCAAAACCACAAGAAATTCAAATTCTTAGTGACTGTATGGTCTACAAGGAAGTGGCTTAAAAAAAGGCCTTCCAGTGACATTATCCTCCAACCTGCTTTTGGCTAGTTGACCCTAGCTTGAGAACTCCCTTGTAAATGAAACCCACAACATACTTTTCAGGATGAGGTCCAGGCAGATAGTATGATTCTCAAACACAGCATTACATATGAGATAGCTGCAGTAAAATTGCACCAGCATGTGTCACTGTGGGTGAACTATAATCCTTAGCTTTCATTTTTATTAAAAAACAGTGTAAATGTATTTGGCAGGAACACCACTATGCAGTCATAAGAAGGAGGGGGACTTTTTTTTTTTTTTTTTGTGCTGCAAACCTGTTTAAATGTAGATAGTTGTTATTTTTCTGCAATTAATGAGCAAGTCTGTAGACTTACAATGACATTATCTGTGTAGTTTGGATGACCATGCTAGGACAGAATTGTCTGAGTAATTGATGTTCCAGCTTCTTGAATTAAACACATCAGTGTGGATACTTGTATATTTCATATGACTGTTATCCATGCTTTCCTGTATTTGGCACCACTACCTGTATTCAAGCAAGTGCACCGAACTTTCATCTATTGTTTCACTTTTTTACTGATCACTGTTGATATTACAGGACTGATCGAATTATCAATCTTGCTGCCCTACTATCTTTGCCACAACATCGTTGGAGATCAGTGGATGTCTTTAAGTGGTGAGACAATTTCAACAACATTGTTCGTATCACCATCCGATATTTATATGGAATTATATGCATGAAGATACATCATCCTGATCTAACTTCATGATAACTTTTGATTTCATTTATGCAGCAAACCTAGCATTTCTGCAGTCTACAATTTTTGATCTATTCTCATAGGGCTTTATGCTATCTGGTTTCTCTAGCCCATTTAATGCTATACTCAATTTAGGCCACATGCATGGCATGAACAAATGTTTTTATTACACTGTCTTTTAATGTTATGTTGGCTGTTTGTATGTTCATTTTGAGAAGAGCTGATTCTTCACATGATCCTTGGGATCATATAATAAAGTTACTGTATTTTTGTATGCATTCATATTGATGCATTAATTACTCTGCCTGGGATTTACAAATACCAACTTTTTACAGTTTTATCTTGACAACTGCAATTTTTTTCTAGGACAGAATTGACCTGTGTTGCGTCCCTTTGAACAGATCATTTTGCATTTTGATGTATGTGTATGAGTAATAACATGTTCATATGCAGAATGCAATTTCCATTAACAAATCTTAGCAGATCTACCCAATCCCTAATAGTCTAAAATGATTCTTTTCTTCAGAGATATTTAGCACAATATTAGTATACAAATAGAGAAATGTCGATGGTTAAATCTTTTTTTAGAAGAGTACAAAGAGTAGAGGTGAAGCTCCTTGTACACAGGAATCTAGCATTCATATTTTTACACAAAAGATTCTTTCCTAAGCCCAATCAAAATAAAGCCTACATACAAAATAACTATATCATACTGGTAAAAAACAATAGCTGCAGTCGTTCTTGTGTATGCATGTACCACAAGTGATACCAAAATGCCAGCTAAGGGGCAGCATGTAACTCAGAGTGGCACCAAAGCAAATTTTACACTTCAATGGGGATTTATTTTCTACTTTTATCATTTACCGGCTTGTGGCTGGTCAGAAAAAAAAAAAGGAGGTAAGAATCTACAGTGTAGTACTTGCAGCATCCTCCCTAGGTCACTTTAAGCACTCAAAGGATTCTTCTAGACTTCTGATGGTTCTGCAACCTGGCAAAAGTTATTTTCATTGTTTTTTTAACTCAAGAAAAAAGTTTTTTGAAAAAAAAAAAAAACTGTCAAAAGAAGACATTCCAGAGTACACATATGTCAGTGCATAGTTCAACTAGGCATCATGCACAGCATCGACAATATACAGTGCCCTGAAAAAGTATTCATACTCTAAAATTTTCCACATTTTGTCAGGTTACAACCAAAAACGTAAAAATATTTTATTGGGATTTTATGTGATAGACCAACACAAAGTGGCACATAATTGTGAAGTGGAAGGAAAATGATAAATGGTTTTCAACATTTTTTACAAATAAATATGTGAAAAGTGTGTTGTGCATTTGTATGCAGCCCCTCTGAGTCAAAACTTTGTAGAATCACTTTTGCTGCAATTACAGCTGCAAGTCTTTTTGGGGATGTCTCTACCAGCTTTGTACATCTAGAGAGTGACATTTTTGCCCATTCTTCTTTGCAAAATAGCTCAAGCTCTGTAAGATTGGATGTAGAGCATCTGTAAACAGCAATTTTCTTGCCACAGATTCTCAATTAGATTTAGGTCTGGATTTTGACTGGGCTATTCTAAACACATGAATATTCTTTGATCTAAACCATTCCATTGTAGCTCTGGCTGTATGTTTAGGGTCATTGTCCTGTTGGAGGGTGAACCTCCGCCCCAATCTCATGTCTTTTGCAGGTTTTCTTCTAAGATTGCCCTGTATTTGGCTCCATCCATCTTCCCATCAACTCTGACCAGCTTCCCTGTCCCTGCTGAAAAAAAGCATCCCCACAACATGATGTTGCCACCATCATGTTTCACGGTGGGGATAGTGTATTCAGGGTGATGTGCAGTGTTAGTATTCAGTCACACACAGCCTTTTGCTTTTAGGCTAAAAAGTTCAATTTTGGTCTCATCTGACCAGAGAGCACCTTCTTCCACATGTTTGCTGTGTCCCCCACATTGCTTCTGGCAAAATGCAAACGGGACTTCTTATGGCTTTCTTTCAACAATGGCTTTCTTATTGTCACTCTTCCATAAAGGCCAGATTTGTGGAGTGCAGGACTAATAGTTGTCCTGTGGACAGATTCTCCCACCTGAGCTGTGGATCTTTGCAGCTCCTCCAGAGTTACCATGGGTCTCTTGGCTGCTTCTCTGATTAATGCTCTCATTGCCCGGCCTGTCAGTTTAGGTAGATGGCCATGTCTTGGTAAGTTTGTAGATGTGCCATATTCTTTCAATTTTTGGATGTTGGATTGAACAGTGCTCCGTGAGATGCTCAAAGCTTGGGATATTTTTTTAAAACACAACCTTGCTTTAAAACCTCTCCACAACTTTATCCCTGACCTGTCTGGTGTGTTCCTTGGCCTTCATGATGCTGTTTGTTCACTAATGTTCTCTAACAATCCTCTGAGGGCTTCACAGAACAGCTGTATTTATACTGAGATTAAATTACACACAGGTGGACTCTATTTACTAATTAGGTGACTTCTAAAGGCAATTGGTTCCACTAGATTTTAGTTAAGGGTATCAGAGTAAAGGGGGCTGAATACAAATGCACACCACACTTTTCAGATATTTGTAAAAAATTTTGAAAACCATTTATCTTTTTCCTTCCACTTCACAATTATGTGCCACTTTGTGTTGGTCTATCACATAAAATCCCAATAAAATACATTTACATTTTTGGTTGCAACATGACAAAATGTGGAAAATTTCAAGGGGTATGAATACCTTTTCAAGGCACTGTAGCAAGCTTCTGCACCAATAGTGAGCACATATAGCACTTAATACACAGTATCTCACCAGCTTGTAGCATCACGTCCAGTGAACCTGCGCATACTCTTATCAGTGATATGACCATGGACCTGCGAAAGCATCTTATCCTTGTGCACATTCTCATAACATTCTGTGCATCACCAAGTATATGGGTGCTAAGCCAGGTGTGTTCAGCCAACCTCGCCACACTTTATCAAATTTGGCCGGAAAGGCCCTATGCTGATATATAAGCCGCTCATATTGTAGGGTTACCCTCATATGGTCAAGCTATGCTTTTGAAGAAGGTGGATATATGGCTTTCCAATGTATTACGACAAGTTTGCATACTTGAAATAGAGATCTGTTTTCTGATCTCTATCGGTCTTTCTTTTGTAGAGTTGTAGTCCCTTGGAGCTAACTCCCTGCAGGGGGGCCACTTCCAAGGCGATTATACTAGGGCAGTGGTGGGCAACCTTTTTTTTTCAACTGAGCCAAATCTCGCCAAAACCATGATTGAAATTTATTTTGAGAGCCACATTTTTAAAACTGAAAATACATCTCCCATATAGTAATTCATCCCCCATAGTAATTCATCCCCCATATAGTAATTCATCCCCCATAGTGTAATTCATCCCCCATAGTAATTCATCCCCCATAGTAATTCATCCCCCATATAGTAATTCATCCCCCATATAGTAATTCATCCCCCATATAGTAATTCATCCTCCATATAGTAATTCATCCCCCATAGTAATTCATCCCCCATATAGTAATTCATCCCCCATAGCAATTCATCCCCCGTATAGTATTTCATCCCTCGTATAGTATTTCATCCCCCGTATAGTATTTCATCCCCCGTATAGTATTTCATCCCCCATATAGTATTTCATCCCCCATATAGTATTTCATCCCTCATATAGTATTTCATCCCCCATATAGTAATTCATCCCTCATATAGTATTTCATCCCTCATATAGTATTTCATCCCCCCATATAGTATTTCATCCCTCATATAGTATTTCATCCCCCCATATAGTATTTCATCCCTCATATAGTATTTCATCCCTCATATAGTAATTCATCCCTCATATAGTATTTCATCCCCCCATATAGTAATTCATCCCTCATATAGTATTTCATCCCCCCATATAGTATTTCATCCCCCCATATAGTATTTCATCCCTCATATAGTAATTCATCCCTCATATAGTATTTCATCCCCCCATATAGTATTTCATCCCCCCATATAGTATTTCATCCCCCCATATAGTATTTCATCCCTCATATAGTAATTCATCCCTCATATAGTATTTCATCCCTCATATAGTATTTCATCCCTCATATAGTATTTCATCCCCCATATAGTATTTCATCCCCCCATATAGTATTTCATCCCCTCATATAGTATTTCATCCCTCATATAGTATTTCATCCCCCCATATAGTATTTCATCCCTCATACAGTAATTCATCCCTCATATAGTAATTCATCCCTCATATAGTAATTCATCCCCCATATAGTATTTCATCCCTCATATAGTATTTCATCCCCCCATATAGTATTTCATCCCTCATATAGTAATTCATCCCCCCATATAGTATTTCATCCCCCCATATAGTATTTCATCCCCCCATATAGTATTTCATCCCTCATATAGTAATTCATCCCTGATATAGTAATTCATCCCCCATATAGTATTTCATCCCCCCATATAGTATTTCATCCCTCATAAAGTAATTCATCCCTCATATAGTATTTCATCCCCCACAGTACTATTCCCCCCCCCCCTTCTAGTAAGCCAAGTCCCCCGTGTCAATTCACTTACCTTTTGCGTTCCTCTCGCTGTCTTCCCGCGCCGTTCGGGTCTTCAGGGCGGACTGTGAGAGGAGCCTAGCTCCCCTCCCCTCACGTTCGGCACGCTGCCCCCGCCTACACACATCCTGACAGCCACATCCGCAAGCCGGATTAAAAGGTCCGCGCGGACTTTTGGGGCTGCCAACCGAGAGGAGGCAGGGGAGCGGCCGACCGAGAGGAGGGAGGGGAGCAGGCGCCCGGCACACAGAAGAGCCGCATTAGACTGGGTAAAGAGCCGCATGTGGCTCGCGAGCCGCGGCTTGCCGACCACTGTACTAGGGTCTTAGTTATATGGCTTCCTGTCACTTTTGTTTACAATTGTCAACCCTATGATTCAGTGTTATTTGGTATCAGCTACTATGACTATAGCTCTAGCTGATTTTTCTGTAATACCTGATCATCGCTTAGACATTGTGTGAGTGAATGATGTGCCTGTTCTTGCTCTTGCCAATAATAATAAAATATTGAAACAGAAAAAATCTGGAGACTGCTTCTCTAATATACTGGTCTTGTACCACCTCATCTATAGTACCTAAAATACATTGTTTAGGATCCAATGCAATCATAGCTTGAAAAGATTGTTTAATGATGTTAATTAATGTTTCCCAGTATCTGTGTAGTTTAGGACATCGCTGTATCATGTGAATCAGATCCCCATGGTCGCTACAACATTTACTACAAATTGGGTGTTTTTTTTCATTCTACATGGTAGTTGCCTCAGTTAATCTACTAGTGAATGAGGTAGAAAAGCATTGTGACTTTAGTGCAGCAATGGGCAAACTACGGCCCGGCGGACCTTTTAATCCGGCCCGCGGATGTGGCTGTCAGGATGTGCGTAGGCGGGGCAGCGTGACGAACGTGAGGGGAGGGGAGCTAGGCTCCTCTCACAGTCCGCCCTGAAGACCGGAACGGCGCGGGAACACGGCGAGAGGAACGCACGGAGCAAAGGTAAGTGAATTGACACGGGGGACTTGGCTTACTACTTGGGGGGGAATAGTACTGTGGGGGATGAAATACTATATGAGGGATGAATATGAGGGATGAATTAATATGGGGGATGAATTAATATGGGGAATGAATTACTATAGGGGGGATGAATTACTATAGGGGGGATGAATTACTATAGGGGGGATGAATTACTATATGGGGGATTAATTACTATGCTTACTATGGGAGAATATTACTATACTTACTATGGATGACACATACACATCATTCATCTACTCTTGGTCCGGCCCCCGGGTCCAATATATGAACCCATTGCGGCCCTCAAGTCAAAACGTTTGCCCACCCCTGCTTTAGTGTCATCTACAGTACATGGCTAGTTGTTGCTAGAATGTCTTAGTGTCTTTGGGGAGAACACGGTCTCGTTTTTGGACCACCCAACTACTCTTTCACCCTACCGAACTGAAAATAAAAAAAAATCTGAGAACAGAGAGTGGACATCATTTTGGCTCATGTGTTATTAAAGAATCACTAATGCTAACAAGCTTATAAGATATCCAATCTAGAAGAAAACACTGTTCCAGGTAAAAAGCTGTCAGCCTTACACAGCCCTCATGCGGGTGCCTGCTACGGCTTGCCACCGGAAAACTGATCATAGTTACTTTATCTTTGCTACTTTGTTCATTGTTTCTAGTTGGAATTTGTTTGTTACTCTCCATGGTGATTTTTATTAACCTTAGATAGCTGTCAAGATGAAGGCTGCTGTACACACGGGCAGAATGTCGGCTGGTTTCTACTGAATCAGCCTATGCCACCCAACATTCAGCCCGTGTGTACTAGGCTTTAATCCAGAAATGTTACCCCTTATCTTTGTTATGAATAAGCACACAATTTTGTGTGACACCCATTAACAAGTAGCTACTCCTTGTCCTCTATTTGGTGTGCTGTCCCTATTTGGAATATTGATGGAATAAACAGGTTAACCGGCTGTACAGTGGTGTTGAGCCATTCCTTCCTATGATCAAAGCTTATAAATCCAAAACTGGTTTAGAAGCACTCATGGGTCTTGCAGAGGCATCTTTCTTGAGAAAGATGAACTGAGCTTCATCAAAACGTTGACAATAAAAACACTGTTGTTTTTGATCTTCCTCCTCTGCAAGACCCGTGAGTACCTCTAAACCAGTTTTTGATTTATATGGATTTCTTTGTGGGTGTGCACCTAGGCATTTATCTCAAACAGAGTGCTGTGGATATCTTTGGAACTATCAAAGTTTATAAAATAGACACGTCAACTACTGACATCCATATATGTGATCATCTGGGCTGGCACAGTACCTACTATGCATTTTTCCTTATATGTGTTACTGCCCAGTTCTAGAGGGTTACAGGGACTTAGAAGTAACCTAAAATCTTCCTATTTCTGTAAATTCAGGATAACTACTAACCAAATCTTTCAATTTCTGTAAATTTAGGTTATCTACCAACCAGCAAAAATAAAGATATCTATATAAGATATGCTGCTTACTAACCCCCAATACTGTTCCCCCAGGCAAGCAAGGTTAGCCCCAGCACTGTGTTACTCAGCCGGAAGACAACTCCAAAAGTGCGCAGCAGGTTAACAACTTCAGTTGCAGCAGCACTGATCCACAGAGCACTGGCAATGAATCCCAAGAAGGAGAAAAGCTGAGGAGACAGCAAAAGAAAGCAATAAACACAAAGCATAATACACAATAGAGTGCAGTGAACAAATTTTGCTTTTTTAATTATATGCTTACAAAGTAGTACTTGGGTGGCTGGCCATTGTTAGTGGTGAAGAAAACGATGACTGCCAGTGGAGTTCCAATGATCAATAGAACAGCCCAGATTGGCATTGTGCCCTGAATAAGGTACAGTGCATCTGTGGATGGAAGAAAGACACACGTACATTTCTATAGAACGCTTACATATCTAGTACAAGAACTTGGAAATAATGTTATGGTAAGCAACTGTCTAAATAAGAGTTGAGAAAGTGATTGTTTACAGTAGGAAATTGTATTTTTGATGGCACTCACATGTTCCTGAATTTAGACAGAAGACACAGAGAAGAGGTGTGGTGATTAGATGAATGCAGTTCAAAGGCCTCTGCCAGTTGCGATCCTCTTTGTCGGGGTCCACCACAGGGACAGAGATACGGAGCAGCAACTCAATGGGAAACTGGGTGGGGGAGTTAAAAAAAAAAAAATTAAATGAATGCAAGTCAACATGGAAGGCATTGCCCGGCTTTTTAGCCCCCTAGGTTTCTGTTACCTTTGCAACTTTTAGAATTTTCCAGTGCCAAGGTTTTTGCCTCCACTTCCTTGCATCCACTGGATTTAGAGATTCCAATAGGATCTGCCAGGTTCCATGCTGGACTGCTAATAATGGCTGATACTCATCCCCTGTGTAAAGAATTATTTTTTATTCATTGTGCCTGATACTGTCCTCACTTCAGGAATACAACTACACAAAAAAGTTGCCTGAAACAGGATGTAATATTAAACCTGAAAACTGGATAGTTCCCGGAAAAAAAATTTGGTTGCATTCAACCCTTGTCTAATGCTTATATACTGTAGAAGTGTGTAACAGAGGAATAATTGCTATATCCCTAGCTATCTCAGCAGCCGGCACTCTCTTTTTGCTGCAGCCATGAAATGTGGATGGACTCTTGACATCAACACAGACCAGTGGGAAAAAAAGACCAAAGTTCCTTTTCAAATTAGACCGTCTAAATTGTCCCTAGTATGTGTGTGCAAGGTAGGGACCCAAGATTCTAAGCTCTTTGAGGGTAAGGATTGATGTAAATCCAATCTGTAAATCTCTGTGGGAATTGTTGACACTATATGAATACCTGTAATAAATAAATTATGGGTGTCTTGCTAGTCAGGAGGAATATGTGAGAGACAGGATGGCGTCGGCAGTCTTAGCCCTGGTTCACACTGATGCGGTGCGGAATCTGCAGCGTTTTCAGTGCAAATTCCGCACTGCATCACAATCGCACCCGTTCATACAAACCGATGCGGGTGTGTATGTTAAGTTAACAACACTCCAACATCGGTCTGCAAAATGTGGTGCGATGTGCAGAATTGGATCGCATAGGTGTGAATACCCATGCAATCCGATTCTAGTGCGGATCAAAAAAGGGTCCTGCATGTTTTTGGTGCGGGTGCGGTGTGAATAGAGCCATACAAAATGTACGGCTCCAATTGCACCGCACACAAATCACATGTGATTTGTACAGGAATGCGGTGCGGTTCCTGTGCTAATCACATGCGATATACCGCACCGCTGTAGTGTGAACCTAGGCTTAAAAACTACCAGGAAGCGCTGGAACCTTGCTTGGTCAAAACAGTGCTTTTTACCGAGGACTATTCGGGTTTATTTATAAAGTTCAAGCGGGATAAAAAACAAGCATTTTTAGCTAATGTAAAAAATAAAAAAACATTTAAATGAAAAATTGCCAGGTGCATTTTTTTTAGATTTTTGTTTACTATTTTGCAAGGAAAACTATGATGCATTTTTGAAATGTGCATGATTTTTTATGTGTTTGTTTTCCAGGCTGAATTACCTTCATTGTATTTTATTGGTGTAGTTCAATGTCTGTTTTCAAAAATATGACATGGAGCTTCAGCCCGGGCTCACACTGATGCGGTGCGGAATTCGCAGAGTTTTCTGTGCGGATTCCGCACCACATCAGAATCGCACCCTGTTCATGCGAACCGCTGTGGGTGTGTATGTTAAGTTAACAACACCCCAAAAGCGGGTGCAAAACACAGTGCGATGTGCAGAATCAGATCGCCTAGGTGTGAATACCCATTCGATCCGATTCTAGTGCGGACCCAAAAAAGGGTCCTGCATGTTTTTGGTGCGGGTGCGGTGCAATTAGAGCCATACAAAATGTATGGCTCCAATAGCACTGCACACAAATCGCATGTGATTTGCATAGGAATGTGGTGCGGTTTCTGTGCGAATCACATGCGATATACCACACCACATATATGTGAACCCAGGCGCAAGCATAATCTGCAACTGCAGCACTCATATAGAGACTGTGCATCACAGTCACAATGTTTAACATGAAGTTATGAACAGAGAACAGTCTCATCTGGTAGGAAGTACAGAAACTAACAATAATCATACCAAACTCAGAGCCATGAGGAGGATTCTCCAGGTTCTTCAGATTCCGTTAGAAGATCTGATTATAGAAGGAAGAAATACAGGACATGAAAGAAAAATAAAAGCCTCTTTTACTTGTACTAATGTTTGAGCATCAGTTTTTTTTTAGGAGCAGTTTCAGGAGTTTTGCGCATATTCACGCGTTTGCACACACAATATATTCCTAAAGTGATACTAAACCTAAAAACTTTTTTTTTACCTTACTGCATTGCTAACATTAAGGTAGAAAATCTTTTTTAGTCTCCCTGTGCTCTCCCTTCCCTGCATGAGAAGAGAGGGAGAAGAGATCAGTGCTGTGCACAGCTGTATCTCCTCTCCCCTTGCTTCCTCTTCACACAGGGACTCAAACAGCAGCAGGAGCCATTGGCTCTTTTTGCTGTCAATCAAACATAGTGAAGAGAAAGTGTGTGGGCGAAGCTAAGTCCCGCTGTGTATATCTATGGAGCACGGCTCCGTAAACACACAGTTTGGAAGCATGCATGCAGCGTGTCCCCACAGCAGACAGCTTGCTATGGGAGACACACAAAGAAGAGGACAAGCCGAGATCGTCGGGGGGGGGGACCCGAGAAGAGGAGGATTGGGGCTGCTCTGTGCAATACCACAGCACAGAGCAAGTAAGTATAACATGTTTGTTATTTTAATTGAAAAAAATGTGGACTTTAGTAACACTAAGGAAAATGTATTAATATTTATGCTCATATGCACGTATTTGTGCGCATGCAGCATAAATTACTGATCAAAAATGCACTTTTTCCTATTTTTTTTTTCCACTAAGTTTGGTTCACATGCCTATGTGTACAGGCACATTGTATATAAAGGGCTACATTTTACCTTAGTAAAAAAAAAAAACGCTGTACCAAGCTTTTTCAAGCTTCAGTGTGCAACAGGCCTATCTGAGCTTGAAGGAATTTTACTTTTGCTGTGCTACCATTAAAAGAGCTCATTGACACTGTGTATCCAACAGCTCGTTAAATTATAAACTGAGTTTATGGATCTCAGAAGCCACCATGTAGTTTACTGCAGCAGAGTTAAAATGTTGTCTATGCACCCTTTCTTTTATTTCCTAAACTTTACAGGAAAAAAGACAACTTATTTGCTGACACAGGCAATGTGAAGTTCACCAGTGAGCTTAATCACCAATCCACTTCCTATACTCCTTAAAAGTAGACGTTGGGGCAAAATATATTAGAACACATGCAAGTATGCTCCTATCCTTCTATTTATGGATCACAATGCAGTGTCTCTGCTGTAATGAAATGCCAAACAGTGTTGTCAGCTCTACCAAGTTCTTTTCTGCAGGACTACAGAACACCTCTTACTCATTTCCATACCTTAGGAGGCAAGACTTCTGTTGTCCAACAAAAGAGAACTGGGTAGGACCAGCAACACTGCTTGGCATTTCAGTGCAGCAGAGGCAGCATGCACTGAAGTTATGAGCTTGATGGATTTCTAGCAGGATCAACAGGTATTTTTCTGTGCTTGCAGTATTTTTAAGAGACAACATATGGGGAAATGCACACATATTAAAGAGATACACTGAATATATTTTTTTAAACTTTTGCCCAGACATGCAATGTAAAGGTTCCAATGGAGCAGTTTCCACCAGTTTACATAAAGCGATAAAGCTAATATCTCACAGCTAGACTCTCCATGAAATGGTTTACGTTACAGAGTTTGAAACCAAAATTTGCCTCAATAAATGAGTAGCATTTGAGAAGAAGTCTGTGCCTACTTATGCCAGCCTATGAGTTAACTTCCCAGTTATTACTCTAATTTGCATGGAGTGGTCATTTGCCATATGCTTGATGAGGTAAGAGTAAAATGGAACCAACAAAATTACAGATATATTACCTGGCTCGCTTAAGCTAGGGGCAGCCAACGACCGATGGCGCAGCCTCTGATAGACCCAGGTGGAGAACACCACCACAATAACATAAGCCACATACATCAGTATATACACTGTGTGAGCAAAATAGAAAATTAGACCCTGTAAGAGTAATACAGCTTAAAGGTTTCACCCTTAAATCAGGTGCCCATATAAATACCAGAAGTAATTTTGCCATTATTCTTGAATATTTTTTTGCAGGCCAATGTCTACCATAGACAAAGGCATTAAGACTGTAATACCAACTTTTGCTTTAGGTGGTGCATGAACATTTAGTAAGTGCAGAAAGCAAAATGCAAGGACTTTGTGTTTCTAGGATTGAACGGATGGACTTTTGTCGTTTTTTAGCCAGACTATGTAACTATCAGAAAAGGTATATAGTGAGCGCGTAATCCATAAGCAGCTATGCACTCAAAGCAACCAATATATTCAATAAATCAAATGATAAAAACTAGTGCAGCGCTAAAAAATGAAATATTAGATCAAATAAATTCAGAAAAACGCCCATAAAGTCTATGAATAGTGGCTGGTAAATATACTGGATAATGGTGGTGCTCCGTGGGAAATGATAAAAACGCGCACTCACCAGAAATAAAATGAATAAGAGCGTTGTATAAAATTCCTCATCAGAGGTCTGGTCAGAGGTCTGGTCACCTTGGGCAATCCTCCCTTCTGCGTGATGACAGGACTCAGTAAAGATGAATAAGATCCGGGTAACCAGAGGTTTCCTCAAAGGGGCTGGCTGGAAGGAACTGCCTGTTAACAGGGGATCTTCCACCTCTTGGTATAATGCCTGGATCCTGGCACAGGGTTTCTGGAAGATCCCCTGTTAACAGGCAGTTCCTTCCAGCCAGCCCCTTTGAGGAAACCTCTGGTTACCTGGATCTTATTCATCTTTACTGAGTCCTGTCATCACACAGAAGGGAGGATTGCCCAAGGTGACCAGACCTCTGATGAGGAATTTTATACAACGCTCATATTCATTTTATTTCTGGTGAGTGCGCATTTTTATCATTTCCCACAGAGCATCACCATTATCCAGTATATTCACCAGCCACTATTCATAGACTTTATAGACATTTTTCTGAATTTATTTGATCTAATATTTCATTTTTTAACTATGTAACTATGTTTCTACACAAAAGGAGAAGTATGTGGGAAATGTTCAACTATCACTGAAAAACCCACAAAAGCAAATACAGAACTACATGTATATACAGCCAAATTTAAAGTAATTAAACATTGTATGATATGTAATGGATGGTAATAAAGAGGTTGTAAACCCTTACATATACCCAATGAAGTGACTCAGGTGATACACAGAGAGATAAAACAAATCCTCCTACATAAGTTCTACCTGTTTATCTGTAGGCCTCTCTTTTCTACAGTTATTCAAAGTCCATAATTGATACAATTTGTCTGAGCTTTCAGAAAGCAGGGGGCAGGGAGCTGAAGTTACATTCTGGAGAGCTCAGCGAGAGCTGATTGGAGGGAAGGGACAAGTTTCAGTCAGAATCTAAATTTGGCCGAATTTTTGGTTATTCAGAGATTTGTATGCATCCATAAAAATACGTTTCGTTTATTCGTTTTCTAACAAATTTAACATTTTCAGAACAATAGGTTGAAAATGAATTGACCAATCCGAATTCTGTAAGAAGAATAGTTGTTTGTTAAGGAGAGGGCCTGGAAGCCGGTGCTGCATCCTTAACAACCAATGACTCATCAACTGTCAGTGGTTTCAAGCGAGCGCCTCCAACCCCTCCTGAACCATATCAGACCACATGCCCTCAACATAGGAGGGTGCTTGTTGATGGGGACAAGGATCTCTTCACCACAACCCTGGGCAGAGGTTGTGGGGGGGTCTGCGGCAGGGAGCTTATCAAAATCTAAAAGGCTCCTTTAACAAGGGGGCCCCCCATGTTAACAATTATGTGACCAAGCATGCCAGTCGATGACATCACAAGGGGGCGGGGTCATCCGACGATGTCATCTGGTGACCCCCGCCCCTTTGTTATTTCAGAACTGTTGACTGTGGAGGTGTCAGACAGCTGGAGACTTTGTGGAGTGCGGAGCTCCTTCCCCCTCCCAGGTTGACACCTAGCGGCATTCCTTGTGTTTGACATTGGATCTACTTCGGGGGACATTCTTTACTCGCTCACTCGTCCTCCCTTTCCTGACCTGCCGGGCTGCTCGAATAAGGTTTTGGTATGGATTTTGGGGAGACTCCACACTGTTTTTTTACCCCCCTTAATTTTTTATTGCTGGCAATTTTTTTTTGCATTCAGCTGCCAGAAGGGAAACCACTGACAGCTGAAGAATCATTGGTTGTTAAGGATGCAGCGGCCGGCTTCCCGGCACTCTCCTTAACAACCGGCTATTCTTCACACAGAATTCAAATTGGTCAATATATTTTCGACCGATTCGAACTGTTCTGAAAATTTGAAATTCGTTAGAAAACGAATAAAGGAAACTAAACAAATGTAAACTAATTCCGAAACGAATCTGCGAAATGAAATTAGTAACAACAAATTTATCCAACACTAAACACATTTATTTTGACCTGCACATGTCTAGGACACCCCCCCCTTCACACAGCACACAGGAACAGAGCTGGGGCTATCAATCACAGGATGTGTCCTGGAGCTTCCTCCCCGTTACCTTTTTATTTCTTGTCAGAAGTGACTCTGACAACAGTAGAAAAAGGAGGCAACAGTACACACTATAGCGGGATATGCTTTGTTCATATTTGATGCCAGAGGTTACAACCACTTAAATAAGATTTTTTTCATCTAAATAGATGTAATGCCATTGTTTGGTATAAAACTATTAGTAAAGACTGATACTAAAACGGAAATAAAATGCAATGAAATAGGACAATGAGACAAAAGATACACACCCAGAACAACCGGTAAGGTCACATAACCTTGATACAGCACATAAAATGTTAGGAAGACGGCAGCGATGTAGAATGTAATATCTCTCAAGAAGGGACGAGAAGCAGCAGTAAATGGCTTTACCAATGCGATGCCTCCAGCTACGACTGTGGTGACAAATACACCAGCACCTGGGAAACAGGACATCTGGGTCATACACCTGTCTTTTTTAGAAGGTAGTTTTACACCATCTTAAATTTTATTGGTTTTAATACACACCAAAGAGAGCGCCAATAGCCAGCCCAGCAGTCCTGGAGTCTGAGAATGCAGCCACAGCACTGAACACATCCGGGGCCCCATTCCCAAAGGCCAGAAAGGTGACACCATGAAAGTGAAATGGTCAAGGAAATCTGCTTTACCAAGAAGTCATCCTGTTGTCCAGACAGACTGGCCTATTGTGCTATTCTGTCATCATGGACAACCGTTTCCCATTGTGCAATTATTTATAATATAATTATAGCACAATAGTAAACATGTGCCCTTAAACAGCAAAAATGCACAATGGAAAAAAGGACTTGTGAATAAAAAAAAACAAAAAACAAAACCACAAAATAAATGTATTGGTGTTTGAAGTGTGTAGAGAATTGATGTAGTTCCAACATCAGAGACACTGAGCCCTGGTACACACTGGATCACATTTCACTTGAAGTCGCACAATTTCAAAGCCACATGTCAGTGCGACTTGGCAGAGACGTGTGTGACTTCATGCATAGATGTCTATGCAAGTCGCACCTGAAATTGCAAAACATAGTGCAGGAACCTTTTTTCAAATTGGTGCGGCACCGCAAAGTCGGAGTCAGGTTTCATTGCCAGCAATAGGGTGCAACTAGTCATGCAATTTGAAGTGGTCAAATTGCACGACAAGTCGCACTGGTGTGAACCAGGGCTGAAACACAGAATTATTTTGGGGCATAGACGGGTATATCAGCTTTGCTCCACTGTCTAAAGTCTCCAACCATCAGTTTCCAGCAGCCTACCTTGCATGTCAGCTGCAATTTGCCTGGTGCAAGCAACTAAATATGTGAAAATTACACTTAAAAAAAAGTATGGAATTAAAAAAAATCAGAGCTTCGATCCGATGCTGCATCTGTCTCCCGCTGCCTCTACACCAAGAACTGAGCATTCAAAGATCACCGGTTGCTCAGTTCTCGGTCTTATGTGAGCAGAGAGCCAGTGACTGTTAGTCACCGGCTATCTGCTCTGCCCCTCCAGCGCTCACTGGATCATCGGGCTGAGGAAGGAGTGGGGGTGGCCATCTCAGGCTCTCAGCAGCGTGCTGAGAGGATGAGCCAGCTGTTGGTCAGGCATCCGGGTGGATCCCGACATTAAAGTCAGGATCACTGAAGAGTCTGGACCAGCTGGGCGACATCATCCAACAGCAGGCTTTTGCCTGCTGTCGGCTGAATATAGGTCACAGGAGTTCTGGACTAAGTACACTCCTGTGAACTACAGAAGTATAGCCAAAACAGCTTTGGCTATACATCTCCTTTAAAATACTGACACCTATCTTAAAAAGTGTGTCCAAACCCACAAATAAAAACTTGAATATACTATCCCAGGGCAGCAACTCTTTCTCACTGTACTAGTCTGAGGGAACCCTGCAGCTACTGACAATTGTAGTAGAGGAAAGCAAATTGCCCCAAATTCCAAAATGTTGATGGTCAACCAACTCTTCTGCCATCCCCTGGCTGTCAAAATACAATAAGCACAGTGGGAGAATGGAGGAATTAAATATCAGCATATGGCCTGCTTATGGAGATCAAAGACCATTTGGGCACGTAAGCAAGATCAGACTATCTTACAAAGTCTCTTGGCTTCAATTCTAATTAGGAACATGCTGGTCAGAGGGAGGAGCACACAAAAGTTGCAAGCACTGCCTTATAACCAGGGAAAACAGACAAGGTCTTCTAATCTGTCCAGTCTTTTTTCCCCACCTTCAGCAGTTTTGGGCCTACTGGAGGCTGCCCTGTAGACATTTGATGATCACGGGTTGAGAGGCCATCATATGTCAATGGGTACCTATAGTTTTTGCTGGTTAGTACACTGACTACATAAGCTACAACTAAAAGTGTCTATAGACAAACAACAGATATACTACATTACCTTACATTAAAACATTTAAACCCTAAT